CGTGTGAGTGTGTGCTCGTTTCCTCTTTTGGAGCCTTCAGTTGTTGGCGCTTAAATGCAATTAACATAATGACAAGCAACACTTGTGCGCATGCGCGCATTTCACTTTATCCGCAGAAAGAGACGGACGCACACGGTGCGAAAGAGACGGACTGAGTAGGCCCCTTGCTTTGCTGGCTGTCAATAGTGCAAAAGATAATTATATCATAATTGATCTGTGGGGGGAACAGAAAAACCGGTAGCCAACAGCGGAGACAAGGATCGTGGTGGCCAAGAAGCAGTGGTAAGTGGCGGGAAGAGGGCTGCTCAGAGGGGGCTTTTCATAGAGAAGACAGATACGGACCTCCACACAAACACGAACTCTTAAATGTGACTTAAAGTTTTGGCCATCCGTGGGTTAATGACGATCACGTAGTAAATGCGTGGAGGCGTTCTTTGACTTTTTCGATGTATAAACTTTCAGGTTAGTCCAGATTATATACAAAAAAAATTAAAACAAAAGAACACCAATTCAACAAAAATCCTCAAATGTCCAGAAATTCAAATAAAAATTTTGTGTTTTATGATATTCTTTTGTGTAATGTTTCGTCATAATCTTTTTTAGTCTAAAAGCTTAAAACTACACTGAAATCGAAAAACTATATTCGAAAACTTTCCTTACAAATGAGTCGACTTCTACATATAATATTTTACTTATAATAAATGTGATTACATTTTTTGTGCCTTCTCAAACTTGTGATATATTTAGTTGATCACTTTCCCATTTTAAAAATGTTTTCTTCGTGTCAAAACAACGATAAATCACCCGAAATCATCGCCCATTCGGACCATTTAAGTGTGCTACATAAAAATCCACGGCCGACATGCATACTCTTAATCGCATAGAAAACGCAACTGTACCGCACACACACACACACACGCAGCAAGCTTAGAGGCTAAATTGCCAAAAAAAAAAACCTAAAAAATAAAAGAAAGAAACCCAGGACAAGCAAAGAAACCAACAAAAGCTGCATCAGGCTACCAAAAAAAAAAAAAAAAAAAAATAAAACAAAAACAAACACGAGCCCGACATAGAAGAAGAAGAAGAAGCTGAAAATTTGAACCCCTTTTGTATATATATATAGAAATGTTACGTACATATCTTTATATATATATATATATATATATATATTTAGCCGTGAGTGTGCATCGAGAGGTCCTTGCACAAAAACACACTCACACTTACACACAGAAACACACACAGAGACAGAGGGAAAGAGTCCAGAAAAAGGACGGCGCTTGCACTTGGGCGGACAAGGGTTAAGAGGGGGGTGAGGGTTGGGGGTTAAGAGGCGTGTGGGGTGGAGTGGAGTGGAGTGGGGTGGGGTGGGGCAGTGACGTCGGCGGCGACTGCAGCGTCTGATTAATTGAAGTGCGAGTTTCGGCGAAATGCGAAAACGAAAAGAAACGAAACGAAACGAAAAACGAAAGCGCCGCCAAATTACATTTTCCCCAGCTCACATCCTATTTTTCCAGATCCCTCCGCGCACCGCCTGTCTAACCCCCTTTTTCTGTTCCACCCCCTCCCCCCTTTTCCTGCTCTTTTCCTCCTTTTTCCTTCCTTTGCTTCCTTGCAACCGCAACCAAGTTCCACGAGCTTTGCCTTGCCTCCTGCTTGTTGTTTTTACTTTCGCCCTCGGTCGCCCCGTCTCTTTCTCCCCGCCCCCTATGACCGTCTCTTTCCCATTTTCGTATACCCCTCTCTGTCTGCTCCCGTGTCCTGGAACATTTAACGGAATTTTTTGTTGCCCTTCTTTCGCCGACTCGTTCTTTGCGCCCATGCACTTATTTTGTCAAATGCAAATATAGACGTTTTTATATAAAATATATATATATCCCTATATATGTATATGTATATATATGTACATGTATTTACGTATTCCAGACAGGCAGAAAAAGAGGAAAACTTGTTGAGGAAATCTAAAAATTTTGTTTAATTTGCTGCACTTTTTGTGCCACAGACAGTTGCACGAAAAATCCAGCCGGGCGTATGCGTAATATTTTTGTTATATGTAGTTCTTTTTATATTGGCCATTTGCCGTCTGGATTATATTGATTTGTCTAGACTACGGCAAGCCAAGCGCCAAAAATCGGGTTGGGGAAAGTCTGATACGGCTTGGGTATAGAATATCCAATATTTTTATGGGCTTTTCGGCACTAGCGAAAAAAGCCATGGGCATTATTTTTATACATCTCTGAAGCTTCGCCTGAATTTTTGAATATTAAAATAAATAGTTTCTGGCAAAAACAAATGTCCCCTACAATTTATACCAAGGACTCTACGTACATAAAAATTTCATACACTTAGGTTTCTTCTTTAAAAAATATTATTAATGCAAAAACACCTTATTTGCTGTGCCAGTTTTCATTAAAAAACGTGTTTAACACTTAAATACAACAGGTGAAACTGTGCAATTTTTCAGCACATTAACCGCCATTAATCAATGGTTGTTCAACCTACTAAACAATTACCAGCACTTTGGGCTCAAAGCAACCCTCTCATATCTTCGCTTACTTTTTACCTTTTGGGCCATTTCAATTAATTCTGCTCATTTATTCGAGAGAATCCGGCCGCCAACAATGTTGCACCTTATTCAATTGCCGCCAACTGCAAAAACCAAAAACAAAAAAAAAAGATGCACAAACCAATAAAAAAAAAATGCACGCAAGCCATTAAAAAATATGAAAAAAAAAAAAACAGGGGGAAAAAACGAAACAAAACAGGCTGACTTGAGGCACTTAAAACACCCGAGACCCCATAATGAGTTAATAATTTCAGCCGCTGGCAAGCCGACCGGCAGTTGCTCATTAGTTGCACTCACAGGCACTCACACTCGCGGGAAATAATTAGAAAAAAAACACACAAACGAAAACTGTTGCACATAAATGAAAACAAAAAAATAAATATAAAAAAAGGAACAGAAACAAAAACCACACAAAGGCAACGCAATTACGCGAATTGTAATGAATTTTTGCAAACGAAAATGTAACTTAAATTAAACGAAATGGTAATGGCAAAAGACCGTTTACAACACGCAGAAGCCTTTTTAGAATATTCGCTTAACAATTTTCAATCAACATTGTTGCGCCTGCGTATTGCAAAAAAAAATTTAGCAGACATCAAAATCATAAAAAAAATCCATAGAGACGGAGCCAAAAGCCCCCCACCAAGCGGAATGGGAATAATATTCTTATGGACACATTTCTTATAAATATTTATAATTGCGATAAATTCGAGAGACAGCGATGGGAATGGGGATAAGACAAGCGAAGAAGCTAGACAGTGCGTTTCGGCATATTAAGGCAGTGTAATGTTTCTTACCAGAGAACAAAAAGTAGACAGACAAATTAGAATTTAAGATTGGTCCTTTATCTTTAAAAAAAAAATGCAGAGTACAAAAACCCAATTGTATATTATTTGCAAGCTAATATATGTTTGGTTACAACATTTGTGCATCGTATTTCCACTTCACAGAAACTAAATAATATTTTAAAGGCTTTGTTATTCACATTTGTGAATTTGTGTAACAAGAAGTAACGCTTACTTCACAGAAAGTTTTTTATGTTTAATTGAATTGACTATCTTATTGATATTCCCAATTTTTGTGATGAACTAAGCTAAAAAAAAATCAACTAAAAATTGGCGCCTCTGGTGGCGCCGGAAGTTCCAGAGGCTTCTTATTCCCGGTTCTATTTGCTGGCAACTTTTAAAACTGACTTAGCATTTAGTTAACGCTTTTCTTTTTGCAAATTTCTTGATTGGCTTATTCTTTGGTTTTTTCGTCGATTTTTGCATTTTTTTTTGCCGGTTGTTGTGGCCCAGAAAAATGCATTTCCATTTTACATATTTGATAACGTTCAGCAAATTTCTCTAAAAGCACATCCGGTTCAAACGGGAAGTGCTACAGTCGTCGCCAAAAGAAAAGTTGACTAACAAAATGGAGTGAGCAACTCAATACAGAAAAACTGAGTTTTGGATAAATTGTTAATATCGCGAGCAAGTCATACATAAATAGTTACAATTTTTATGACCACTGAAATATACAATTTACAAACAACAAGTTTAAGCAAACCGAGTTTAACTAAACAATGCAATGCAATTTGAGTTCACTGATTTTACATAGCAATTTTCTATTTTTAATTTATAAATACGGATTGAGCCCGAAAAATGTTTCAAACAAGTTTCCATCTAACACTTTCCTTTCCTCTCACTTCACACATTTTGCCAAATCCGTTTATGGCTAAATCCGAACCGAAACCAACTTAACACTTTTATTATCGAGTGGCACTCGGTGTTTAATAATATCAAGAAGTGCGAAAACCAAAAAAAATGCTTCAAAAATAGTTAAAAAGCTCACCATAAACGCCAAACACCGCAGTTTCAAAACGTTGTTCTCGTTTTTGTTGTTTTGGTTGTTTTTGCCTTTTCTGCTGCTGTTGTTGTTGTTTTTGATGAATTTCTTGTGGTTGATGTTGCACTTGATGTTTTCATTGAATTAAATTTGACTTTTGTTTATTTCCACTTCTTTTTTTTTGCTATAGTTGCGGTTCGCAAAAATTTTTCACTTGGAAAAAATTGTTGTAATTTTGGTTAAATAATAATTAAGGTGCAAAATAGGAGAACTTTTCCTTAACACAACCTTAGAGCATGTTTTTTTGTTGCTTTTTATTGTTTAAATGAAATTGTATGTTTGACGACGAAAAAGAACACAAAATAATTGCGGGGGATTTTGTTTAAGGTTTTCAGTTTTCGAAAAATGCTCCAAGTCCAAAAAGTTGTTGTAAGTTTTTCTAAAGTTCTTAGCTTGTTGTTGTTGTTTTTGCTGTTGCTGTTGTTGTTGTTGTTGTTGTTGTTCACACACACACACGTGGAAAGCCGACTTGAGTTGTTTCATTTGGTTGTTGTGGTTGTTGCTTTTGCTGCTGGTGTTGCTGTTGTTGTTGTTGCTGCTGCTTTAGTTGTTGCCTCTTTTGTAGGTGTAGTTGTTGTTGTGGTTGTTGCATTGTTGAAATACAAAAATTACGTTTAAGGATTTTCTTGCTTTTTTCTTGTTGTTGTTGTTGTTGTTGGTTGGTTGTTGACTTTTAAAAACTTTTCGCTGTTATTTCTTTTTTTTTTTTATTTGATAATAATATATTTATAAAACATTTTTGTTATGTTTGAGTTTATGCCTGGGGGAAAAATATAAGAAACTTGTTAAACCGACGCAAGGCACTCGAAAAAAAAATCAAAAAAAAACAACGCAAATGAATGAAGGACCTATTGTTCGAAAATCGTGTTTTCCTAACACTCACAACACAGAAACGCGCGCGTAGTGTTCCACAAAAAAAAATTAATAAGTAGAGAACGAAAGAACCCTAAGTGTTTCAAATATCCTTAAAATATCGGAATATTTGCAATTTAGATGTTTTTGGCTAAGGCTAACGAAAATAAACACGAACGAACGTATGAAAGTGTCTGCAAGAACTGCAATCGCATCGCGTGTGAAATCTCTGCGAAAGTCCAAAGCCGACAGAGCCAAAAAGCAAAAAGCCTGGCCAAAAGCCCAAAAACACCCAAAGAGCATCGACGTTGGCAGCGCAGTCGGCGCGCAGTCGGCAGCGATGCTTCGTTTTTCCGAACAGTGTGTGCATGTCTGTGTGTGCGGGTGCCCCTGCAGCGTTATCTATGTGTGTGTGTGTGTGTGAACTATGAGCGCCGCACGCGCTTCGTGAGCAAAAATGCAGCTCGTTTTCTCGAGTGACTTTTCTCTTTCACTCAATCGCAGAAAGTGCACGTCTCTCTTTCTCGCTCTCTTCGCAGTGGACAACGCGGCGTATGCGTAATCTAGCTGAATGCAACATATCATTCAGAAAACACCGTTTGCCATATGTTTCGCCAACGAAAATCTTAGGACTTTTACCAACATTATTTACAGATCCTCCTTAAAATTTAAGCCGCGTGGGATTTGGCATTTTGTAATCTTTTTATGCTTATAATGTCCCTCAAGGATACCATCTAATTTGGTTTTTCCAAAGTATTTATTCCTTCAAGCTCAATTTAAGAAGAATTTGTAAAACTTTTAGTTTTTCTAAAGATTTTTTTTTTTTTTTGAACAAATTAAAAAAACGTGGTTAATTTTAGAACTTTTTATATTAGCAATGTTATTAATTTCGCTTCAACTAGCTTAGTTTATAATATTCAGAAAGTAAAATAAATGTATTTAAAAAATAAGAAAATGTTAGTAAAATTGGAAGCATTTCAAAAATCCAACACATTTACTTTTAAAAAACTGTACAACAAATAGTTTTACAAACAAATTAAGTATTGAATTTCCTTGAACTGTTTACCAATTGTTTTTCGAGTGATCTCTTTGATGTTTAAAAGATGACATATATATGCTTATATTTTTTAAACCACAACAAATATCAAAATAGTAGGATTTGCAGGAGATCCAACCAAACTCTAATTTTATATAGATTTTCATTACTACACTTTTTTTATTTAACCACAAACATAATAAAAAAAAAGATGTTTTGCAGATACATTGAACAACAAGTTTGAAAAAAAGTCCGTGTTTCGTACTTGAATTGAACACACATTAAAAAGTAGAAAAGCTTTTAATAATCCGTCGGCATTTGCTAACCTGACGTCGTTACTCATTCTTAGATAGTTGGTGAACTTCAAATACTTGCACAAATTTACAACCTTTTTAGTTGATCCTTTAAAAATATTGATGTACTCTTAAATGGATCTTACCAAGATAAAACTATTTTTTGTTACTGATTTTGCCTATTTAAAAATTGGTTAAATTAAAAAATGGGGGAGAAAATTTTTGCACTGATAACTTCTAGCTACAAAAATGGCATTTAAAAGATGTTTTGATTGTGTTTTCCTGAAACAGTATGTTACAAACGCTAACGATCCTTAGAAAACACAAATTTACAAATTCTTCTTTTAACAATCATGCTTTCTAACAAATAAAATCCAAGTTATGTCCTTTGGAAATTTGTATTTGCACTGAAGTGATCCTTAGAAAACACAACATATAAAAATCCTTCTTCTTAAAAGACTAAACTGTGTAAAAATATATTCTGTCCTTTCCGGCATTTTGTAGGCACATTTTCATAGGCACTTTTCAGAAACAGCAGATTTGTGTAAAATCAAAAATAGTTGATGCTGTTTTCACTTGTGATATTTTCCATTCAAAAAAAATTGTGTGGCACCAGAAAAAAATACATGTTTTACGCGGCGCGAAAAGGATTTTTTTTTAGATATATTCAGGATGTTTCAGGGATAAATATTGCAAAGATTTTAAGAAATTACTTTCGACACAGGAAAAGGGGGACTTTGTCGATTGGATGATTTATGTGATTGGTGTTTTGGATGTTGAATGTTGGTTGTTGTTTTGCGTAGTGTTGTTGTTGTTGTTGGTTGTTGTTGTTGCTGCTGTTGCCGCTTTCGGTGTTGCAGGTTGTTGTTGTGTTGCAGTTGCAGTTGCAGTTAGTGTGTTTTGTGTTTGTGTGTTTGTTAGCCGAGACAGAGAGAGAGCTGTAGCTTTTCTTCCGCGGACTGCGTACGTGCGCGACAACGTGCGGATCTGTTATGATTCAATACGTTTTCGATACGTTTCGTTTACGTTGCCGGACCGCCGATGACGACAACAGCAGCAGCAGCAGCAGCAGCAGCACAGCAGCGGCAGCGACAGCAGCAGCACACACACACTCGCACACACACATCGACAACCACACTCACTCACACACACACTTTCGCACACTCACACACCACACAGAATGCAAAAAAAAAAGAACGCAAAAAAGCTGAAGAAGCGGTCGCAACTTCACTCGAATTCGCGAGTGAAAACTTCGCCAAAAGAGCGAAAAGGCCGAAAAAGAGTGAAAAACGCATTGCATGTGTGCGAGCAGCGCTGCTAGTGGCGACTGCGACGCCGACAGCGGCAGAGGTGGCTCTTGCAGTTCGCAAAACTCTCTCTCTTGGCCATCTGAGAACCAAATTTTTGGCCAAAAGAGAGCGCACAGAACTCTGGCCAAGATTGAGTGGAAGTCCGCCCCGACCAATTTCAAGATCAATTTATTTTGGCAAGTGAGTCAGGAAATAGTCTAAGATTTTCCAGGACTTCCTTTTCATTACCTGCATATTTTCGAAACGTAATTTCTTCAAAAACTTAAAACTTGTGTAATTTAAACAAATTTTTTGAATGGTAAAGTTTTCCAGGATATTCGAAGACCTTAAAAAAAAATTCAAATTCAATTTTCTAGAATTTTCTATGTACGAAAGATATATAAAAACAAAAACAGTTTATCAAGCATACAAATTTTTTGTGTTATTATTTTAAATCATTTTTTTAATATATTGAGTTAAAAAAAAAAAAAAACTAAATGTAGTTATAGTTTCTAAATTGCATTTCTCAAAATGTTCTTGAACAAATCGATTACAAATTATTATATTAAAAATGATAACGTTGACGTTTTTTGGTCAGGAGAAATAATAGATTAAATAAGCGTTCTGCCAACAAGTTGCATTTATTTCAATGTTTTTATAGCTTAAAACAATAACTCAAACAAATGCAAATTTTATAATCATAAATTTATATTTATGTTGGCGACGAGTAAAATTTTAACTTTCTTTAAAATGTAGAGAGGATTACCAATAGATTTTTCTGGAATTAACACCCAATTTTAAGTTTAAAACAACTAGATAAGAATTTGAGTTTGGTTAGCAAAAGCGCTTAATAAAAAAAAATAGTTCAATTACACAACTGTATGAAAGATTTTGTTTTAATCACAGAAATATTTATAATTTTCTTGGAAACATAATATTTTGAAACACTTGGACCGAAAAATTTAATAAATATAATTTTTTGTAGTGCGAAAGAGAGAGCGTGGAGAAAGAGAGGAGGGGTAGGTAGATTTTTGTCGGTGATCGCACGAAAGTTTCGCAACGATTTTCTTTTGAACTTTGGCACAATTTGGTGGGAAAACAGTAAAAAAAAATGTAAGAAAATTCAAGACCGATTGGTGAATTAATTCCAATTTAAATACAGTTTGCAACGAGTAATTTTTTATAATTTTTTTAGTGCGAATTTTAGCGGTTTTTTCGCGATTTTCTGCGCTTTTTGCACTCACACACCAAGCGACGAGGAGCAAACGATACAGCGGAATGAACGGACCAACTGGCAACTGCGGCGGGGCAACAACGACAACAAGCGACAGCGACGCCGGCAGCGACGCGGACAGCGCAGTCGTCCACTACACTCCAAACAAAAGCAAACAAAAAAAAAAAAGGAAAAAAGAAAATAAAAAATTCGCAACCAAGAAACTACACACGAACACGCACACAACTGCGAGCTGCATTGGTCAGAGCTTCGCAAGGAGAGAGAGAAAGAGAGATCGCGAATGCGAATTTTTTGCGAATAAATGTTGCTCGCAACATGTTGCAAAAAGCGAAAAGGCCACGCAACGAAGCACTCACACAAAGAAAATAAGAGTCGCTCTCGCGAATTCTTCGTGTTTGCAAATTCTCTTTTGTTGCGAATTTTTTTTTTGCCCTTGCTTTTATCAGCGGCGCGCGCTCCCGCACACAAATACACCTGCGTCGCCGCTCTCTCTCGCTATTCCCTTCTCTATCACTCGCACTCCCCGCTTCCCGTCCCTTTCACTCGTCGAGAGATCCGCTTTATTTTTTTTGCCCAGAATTCGCACACATGCGAAAAAAAAATACATAAATTAAGTGAGCAAAAAAAAAGGGGAAGAAGCAGCGCTAAAAGATAACTCAACAAGCTTTGAGTTTGCAAAAAAAAAAATTAGAAAAGAATTGAGTGGCACAAAAATTGATTCGCAAAAAAATTGTTGCGCGCCTTTTTTTTGGAAATAGATGGTAGGGTTCTGCTGAGTGATTAATCACATTTCTTTTTCTGATCGAACTTGCAGTTTGACATCTAAAGAACACTGTTCAAAATGTATATGGGCTTGAAACTCATGAGCTTAGAAATTTAGCTTAAAAGAGGAAATGAACGATGTTAACAGAATTTGTACTATTTTAATATACTTTTTTAAATAAGTTTCCATCCAATACGATATTTAATATGGTAGCCTTCGTTTAATTAACTTACAAAGGTATCTACAGTTTTACATTCACTTTAATTTTTTAGTAAAGTTTGACCACCATTGTGCTATTGTGATCTTCTACAGTTTCGTGAACTCCTTGCAACCCTTAATGATCTTGATCACATGACTGCCAAACTGTAGGTGCAAAAATTTTAAACTAAAGCAAGTTCCCCAACAGTTAACTTGATTGCGAAAATCCACCCCCACACCGAATTGTTTAGTTTTTGTTTCACTTTTCTCTTTTTTTTGCACTTTTATCGTTGGTTTTGTTTTTATTTGGAAATTCGTTGTTTGCTCAATAAAATCGAAAATGCGGCGACTTTCAGGCGCAAAAAACGCATTGGTGGGCGATGGTGCAAGCGGGGTGTAGCTGGTGCCAGTGGTGCAGGGGGTGGTGGGTGGCTTTCAAGTCCTTTCTGTCTGCACGCAGTCGCCACACAAACACCAACGCACACAGACACGATGAACGTGAACGAGAAACACTCAAATAAACTGGTGCCAGACATTGACTCCAAAAAAAAATCCCAAAAAAAAAAAACAACGAAAAACAAAAAAAAAATTACAAAAAAGGCGACAACAACTCAGCCTATGTTGCACCACCCACCCGCCACCCAAAACAGAGAAAAAAAAGAAAGCAAAACAAACGGCCCACAGGACGCAATTTTCCACCCACACAAAACAGGACTTCGTCCCTTTTCGTTCGTCCTCGTCGGCTCCTTCTTCTCCTCTCCTTCTTCTTCTTCTTCTGCTTCTGCTTCTTCTTCTTCGTCATCTAGCTGCTGCCACATCTTCTTCTTAATATTTTTTTGTGTCTGCTTCTTTTTTGTTGGCCCTGCGTTGCCAAGGGTTTCCTTTGTTCCCTCGGCCACCCAGCCGCCCACTCTGGCCCACCCCCAAAAAAAGGCAGCCCCGACCATCCACTCTAAGCCAAGTCTGTTGCACTCACAAAACGACGAGCGCGACCCCAAACAAAAACAGCAACAGAAGCAACAAGAACAACACGGCCGAAAGGGCTTTCCAGGACATCGAAGCTCCGAATACCCTGGCCAGGAAATCTTCAACTATATCCTTAATAATATGGACTGATCTTCGGTACAAGGTTATCTTAATTCATCCCTATAAACAATGTGAAAGTGTGCTATTAAATTATGTTTTTTATATATCAATGCGACATATAAATATCTTCAATTCTCAAATCTTGTTTAAAACCAGCTTATAGTGCATACTTTTTTGAACATATTCATATGAAATCAAAATTTTAAATCATACCAATAATCTAATTGGCCAAATAATAGAAAACTTGTTAACTAATAAAACTTTTCAGGGAATAACCTCTCCATTCCCTTATAAAACCTACTTTATTTATTATTCAATAAATTTGTACATAGAATCAACATTTTTCAGATAACAAAATAACATTTTAAAATAATTTAAAAAGAATATTTCCTTTAAAAAAAAATTAAAAATCATTAACTTCAATCCTTATATTATTGATTTTAACAATACATATCTTTATCTTCTTTTAATAATAATTTTAAGATCGCATGTGTGTAACCCAATATTCAGTTTTTAATGTGAATGGACACTTGTAAATTACAACAACAACAAATCTAATGGACACTTTTGCCTCAAATTTTGCGTTGTTGTTTTTATTTTTGCGTGCGTCTTTCACCTCCCCCTTTCGCCTGCCCCGCCCCCTTTTTTAGCTGCCCTTCGACAGCAACAACACAAACAACAAACAAAACAGAACAAGAAAAAGCAAAAGAAAGCGGTGATTCTTTTTGTTTTTGTTTTCGCCTTTTTTGTTTTGCTCGTTTTGTTCGTTGCGTTTTTGGGCTCAAGAGCAGCGCACTCTCTCGCTCTCGGGTTATCTCTTCAACCCTCATTTTCGCTCTCTTGAGATGCATTTGCACTGCATGCGAAAGCGAGAGCGCAAATTCTGATTGGGAATGTTGCTAAAGGAAAACTTTAGCAACATGTGTCTTCAGAAAATGTTGCTAGTTTTTTATCCCTTATAAAATCAAAAAAGGTAAGAAAGTTTTGAAGAAAAAAAAAGAAATTAAGGTGCTAATTACAAAACAATGCAGATATTTATTTCTACTTCAGTGCTGTCAAAGTTTTCAGTTTTGAATATTTTACACCACAAAGAAATAACATTTTTTTTTTTTTTACTTATATTGTTCTCGAATCAAAAGTTCAGTGCGTTCGCAGCAAGGATTAAATCGAAAATAATAATATAGTGTTTTTCCTCAAATTAAACAAACTTTAAAGTCTTGATCAAACCGATTAAGAAAATTAAGTTTTAGTTATATCTTTTAAAAGTGGCATGCAATTCAATTAAACGCCGCGCTTAAAAACAACATGCTACACAGTATTCAATTTTTTTTAAGTTTGAAACAAATATAGAAGCTTAAAAAAAGGTATTGTTAAAATATCAAAGTTAAGTCAGAAATGAGCAATGGCCATGGAAATTTCTCACCCCTGAATTACAAAGTAAAATAAACCCCTAGAAAACTACGCCATGTTTTTGTAACTATGGCATGGAATCGTCGGCCATTAAAATTTGTAAACGGTAAATAGTAAAGACTTACCCAAACACATTTTATGGCAGTCTTGTCCTCTTCGACATCCATTTTATCCATTTAACTTGAATTTAAATATCATAATTATTGTTTTGCCTTGTTTTTCTAAATGCTGCGTTCCAGTGTATTTTCTCTGTAGGAAAGAAGCGCTATTATTGGTTTGCCTTGGGTATTAAATAGTAATTCTAGCAAAATATGATAATAAAGATTAATTTTTAAAATGATTTTCTTTAGCTCATCAAAAGATGACTCCAAATGGGGCACATATTTTGGTTGGCGTAACTTTTAAACTTACTTCTATTTCAATGGGAAAGCCTTTTCCCTCTAACCTCGGGTACTTTCCATCCTTTTTTTCTCCATCCCTCCCTTTGCAGATCAGCTGTAGCGGTAAAAACTTGGCCATAAACAAACGTAAAATAAATGCAGGCGAAAACATGCACTAAAAACAGCTGCAGCTCAAGAGCGAATAAAGGTCGCCACCCCCTCACCTCTCTCGTATTTCCTCTTACCCACCCACACCCACATCCACATCCACAAACACACACACTTTGCGTAGGGAAAAGCAGCGCAGTTGCAGCAGAAAGCCAAGAGGCAGGTTGCTCTCTCTCGCTCTCGCTTGTGGGCAGGGCTACTATCGTTGTTGTTGCTTTGCCCAGCCTAAAAACGGAGATCGCATGAGTGTGTGTGTTTGTGTGTAATGCATATGGCTGCCTTGCTGTTGTTTCTTTTGTTGCCCTTTTTGCAGTTTTTGTTGTTGCTGTTTGTTTTTATCTCACACTCTCGTACACACACACATGCGGCCTATGCAATCGGGCGAATACGAATGATAAATAACATGTGTGAGTGCGAGCGAGAGGTAGTTGTTGTTTTTTTTTTATTTTAGTTTTCTGCCTTTTACCTTGTGGTTTTTGTTGTTGCTCTTTTCGCCGTCTTGTGCGTCCATTGGACATTGCATTCGATGTGTGGGTGAGAGTGCATGAACGCGCTTGCTGGTGTGTGTGTGTGTTTGGACAGCCTCTCTTTTTTAAAAAACGCATAAATGTTGATTACACTAAATTGGCATTTTGTTGTTGTTTAACTTTTTAAGGTATTATCTTGTTTAAATAAGTTCGCAGTAGGACTTGCATATTGTTATGAAGCCAAATTATAGTTTACATTTGTTGTAAGGTAGAAATTTAAAATGCGTAATTGTTGCTCTTACCAAACTCCTAATTTTTAGTTCTTACTCTGTTACTCCTGGATATTTATTAACCATATTTAAATTTTGTGCACAGTCTAATTAGGGACTTTCTAAGAAGCCAAATTGAAACGCAGTTTATTTGCCAAAGGTTGCGACGATAATGCAAGCGAAGCCGAAGATCAAGGCGAATATGATACGTATTCCAAGGTATGCCGGGATATTAACTGTTAAAATGAGGGGAGCCGAAGACGAAAGTGATACTGGAAAGTAACACTAATTCCAGGGGCGGACGCAGAAAAAGTTTTGGGGGAGGCTCCGATTGAAAAATTCCCGACCCCCTTATAATTAGTAAAACTACGCCTTTGGTTCCGTTTTTATTATGTACGCAGCCTGCGTAGATCTAATTAATAAGAATAAGTTGTTTATATTGCAATAATACAAATAATAAATATTAGGCGAAACACTAAATTAATTAAAGCAAAACACTTCCCGAAAAAAAAACCAAGCAAACTTACATACAGATGTGCATACTTATTAGCAAGAGCTCAAGTGTGACGGAAATAAATTCGTACACCTTCTTCTTTCTGTTTAATTTGTATTAAAATTAAACTTATTCAAATTAAACTCCAACTAGCCTCTAACAACTATTAAAATGAACTGAAATGTCCAACAAAATTAGCATTTATATCCAATTGGATTTTTTCCCTCCTAATTTCAAGCCAATTACAGATAAGGAAAAAAGCTAAGTGCTATAAAACTGGGGCTTGCATCGTGCCGGCAAGCTGGTTGCAGCGAAATCTGGGCACATTTGACAGCCGCTAAGCACTAGAGTTGTCAAGGAAACTTTCATTTTACTTGTGCGGAAAATAAAAATGCCAAGAAAACAACGAAATTATACTTGGAAAACTAAGAACAAATTACAAGGTTCGAGGAAAAGTATTACATTTATTTTACTTCGAAATTTTAGTAACAAAAAATGCATTGAGAAATACGGATTAACACCGGTGGTTGCTCTGGCAACCCTGCCACTCTGACATTGCGGCTCACACCTACGCCACACAGACGCACGTTGGTCACACACACGCCCACCTATACAAGCAAGCGGCTACATTTTTTTCAAGTGTGTTCGACGTTCATAATTTTTGTGGTGGAGCTGACTGCAAAAATCAAAATTATCAATAAGCCAACGAATTATTGGCTATAACGCAAGTTAGATCCCCGAAAAACTTGGCGCCGTTTCGCTGTGAGTTCGTGTTTCTACCAAAGTTTGATATTATAGAGAAAAACCGTTGTTTTCGTCCGCAAGAGTGCAAAATAACCCAAAAACTCAATGTGAGAACAACAACAAAAGGCAGGACCAGCGAAAGAAGAAGCAGACAAATTGTAATATAAAATCGAAGAAGAGCAAGAAAAAGTGGAGAGATTATAGAGTTTGATAAAACCAATGTGTATGTGTGCGAGTGTGTGTGTGCGCAAAACAAGAATTGTGACATTTACTTCAGTTTTTCGCATTTTTTTGTTTAATTAAACTCACCGAAAACGCGGCGTTTTCTTCTTTTTTTGCTCACCCTCTTTGTCTTGCCCATTCGCATATTCGCTTTTTGCCTTTGTCTTTTTCGTGCGCGTTGTCTGCGTTTTGTCTGTGTGCGTGGTGCGTTTGCCTGTGTGTGTGAGTGTAGGTGCTAAATTTCTGCCAGCAAAAAAAAAAAGAAGGAAAATCTTATTAGGTGTTTTTTTTTATAGTTTAATTGCCAGCATTATTGATTTTCCAAGTGCGGGGAAAAGCGTTTAGCCACCCTGTTGCCCGGTTTCCCCACCCCAGTCGTAATTTTCCGCTCTGCTTCTTCTTCTGCGGACTACGTGCATTTGTCACCCAAAAGGGAAATCAATAAATTTTAATACAACAAAAGCCGCACACTTGGAAAAAACTGTATTATTAAATTATTATAATTATGTGTATCGTTGGCTTTGTGCCGCCTTTCTATTGCTTTTATTGCAATAAAGAAATTTCTAGAAACTTCGACACTTCTATTGGCTTTTGTTTCGTGTTTATCTTTGCCTCCCCTGCCTTTCTTTATTTAACTTATTTTTTCCGTGTGTCTAGGAAATGTAAACAGTTAAAGGAGCCGCAAGGTCACGTTAAAGGGGGAGGGAAAAGTGGGTGGGCTGCCTTGGCTTACACACAAAAAGAAAAGATACTCAAAATTGTCCTTAAAACATATTTTTATATTAGTACTCGTTGTTAACAGTTTATATTATACGAACCAAAGTACCTTAAATTGATGTTCCTGATCATCGCCTAAGTTTAACATTGTTTACTTTTTTATAAATTAAAATGTTTTCTTATATTTTAAAGAAAGACTTAATAGTTACAACTATGTCTTGGTCAATAAAGTAGAGCTAAATCCTTTTCTAAACCTTTAATAAGCTTAGCATTTTTTCACTGTATTAAAGAGACATCTTTGTGGCTTGCTACATTCTGCAGGAAAACTTTCTTAAGGAAAGTGAAAGCCACGAATCAAACCGAAAATCCTCCCACCTAGACACACACACACAAAAAGAAAAACAATATTTGGACTTCAAGCAATTGAAATTGGAACAACATATTTTTCAGCATTTTATATCTGTACTTTATATAAAATTTTATAGCTAGGGTGATACATTGAATCGTAATAATTTTTTATTAATAACTAAGGTTTTAGCATATTTATTTCCCACTCAGCGTGTGCTTTTCTCACTCCTTCCTCTTGATTTTTCATCTCGTTTGCAGCCCAAATTTTGCATAATTAAAAGCATTACCAGAAGAGGAAGTTTTCGCAGCTAGAAACATGTCAAGCCTGCCACGTCGGATCATCAAGGAGACGCAGCGTCTGATGCAGGAGCCCGTGCCCGGGATCAATGCCATTCCCGATGAGAACAACGCCAGATATTTCCATGTGATCGTGACCGGACCGAATGATTCGCCCTTCGAGGGCGGAGTATTCAAGCTTGAGTTGTTCCTACCGGAGGACTATCCAATGTCGGCGCCCAAGGTGCGTTTCATCACGAAGATCTACCATCCGAACATCGATCGCCTGGGCCGCATTTGTTTGGATGTGCTGAAGGACAAGTGGAGTCCGGCCTTGCAGATCCGCACCATATTGCTGTCGATTCAGGCCCTCCTCAGTGCACCCAATCCCGATGATCCGTTGGCCAACGATGTGGCCGAATTGTGGAAGGTCAACGAGGCGGAGGCCATTCGCAATGCCCGCGAATGGACCCAGAAATATGCCGTCGAAGACTGAACGCCCGAGGTCCGGAGGAAAGTCAGGAAGCGGATACGGCAGTTGTATCGCAGATTTTCCAGAAAATGGGTGCGCGATTTGGACGGGCGGGTGGGGAAAAACAAGCAAGCTAAGAAGCAAAATTTAAACACAAACGAAAAGCCAGCATGTCATTGTGTGTGTGAGCCGACCACTGCTTTAAAAAACAACCAGAAGAAAACCTAAAGCTAAAGCATGCGAGAGAAAACATAAGATTAAGTGAAAAGTTAAAATGAAAAGAATTTTTTTTTTTCAAACCTTCTGGGGCGGGTTATACATAATGATAAATATATATTTTTTTCAAACAATCGATCGGGGCGATCGGCGATGAAGGAGAGATAGTGAAACCATTCTTTATGTAAGTCATATACAATACATGTATTCGAAAAACAAACAAACAGTAATTCGTTTTAATCGTTTCTATTGATATGTATGTATGTATATGTATGTATTTGTATGTGTAACTGAAATAACCAACCCATAAGCATTAACCCATGTAGCATCAGATAAATAAACCAATTGAAAAGGCAACTAAAAAGGGGTTTTGGTTTTTTTCAAAGCTTGTAAACTCGGTCGAAAAGTCGTTAAAATCTGTGTTTAAATGTCTATTCAAACCAGAGTGTTTTTGATTATTTTCACTGTTTAAACAAGTTTCAGATGTGATGGTCAATTTATGTAGAACTTGTATTTTTTCACTATCAAGCGAGTTCACCTTTTCGATTGATACTTGAGCTTTTCCTGGGTTGTGTCAGACTCAGTTTGATAAACGAAAGATGGTTTTGCTCGACACTTTTTTTTCTACCCAAACAATGAAGCCTTTAAGCTATTAGTAATTTTTGGAAAAAAAAAAAAAAAATACGAACCAAAAAAAAAAATAAAAAAAAAACAAAAACTAAATGCATACACTATATATTTATACAAAACATAAACGTAGTGGCTTGATTGCGTGAACTTTTCAGGAGCAGTTCTCAACAAAAATTGTGTACAGTAATAACCGTTTTTTCACCCAAATCACTAACGAAAAAGCCGTTAAACAATAGCAACAGAAAAGCAACCATAAATCAAATAATAAACAAAAAATAAAATCAAGAAAATATTCAATTCAGTTTTTTATTTAAGTTAATTTTTTCTAAGAAAAAAATAAATAAAAACAAAATAAAAAACGAGAAATTAAATAAATAAACTATAAAAATAAGAGTTGAGTTTTAATTCATTAATTGATTCTTGTGGGTGTCTTTAAAGTAAAAGGTAAGTGGGTTTCACACGATCCTTGAAAATTCCTCCATAAAATATGTTATCTTCATTATTTGTATTATGTTAAATTATCATATAATACATGATTAGTCTATGATTTGATTTGACTGAAATTTTGTCAACAAATTTGCAATTTCCCTCAGCAAATGTTGCCAAATTTCCGAACGAAGTTTGATTAACAATGAGTGTGTTTTGTTGACCTGTCACGACTGCAGTTGTCAATCATTTCGCTCAACTTGGTCTTTGGGATTGGATTTTCCCCCGCTGGCCAGGCTTCCCACTAAGTCCGGCTTAACCCTGGGCTGTCCCCTGTCCGCTTGGAGCCCCTCGGGTCCGGCGATGGGAATAAATGCCGTTCAGCTCTTCTCTGTTTTCCATGGTTTCGTCCTGTGAGAGTGTGTGCTGGCCACTCCCCCCAAAAAAAGGCGAACCAGGACCTTTTTACCGCCTCTGATTGGGTGCTCTTCGCTTGCATATATACGTATATATCTCGTTCCGGCGATTTCGAGGCCCCTGACCAACAACACAGGGCAGTCAAATGTCGAACCTAAAGGAATTTTTTCCCTCTGGTTTTTATTATTTCTTTATTTTTTCTAGTTTTTTTTTTCCAGCCGGTGTTGTGTTCTTCGTTTTTTAGTCTGTGTCGATTTTGTTTTTCCGGAAAATGGGTGGCAGTCGGTGGGCATCGGATGGTTTTTCTGGGGTTGGAGAAAAACGCATATGCAAAATGCGCTGTTCGAGTGTCTGTGTGTTTAAGGATTTTTATCGGCAGCTTCATTGTGTGCTCTTCGCCAGAAAAAAAGATACGGGAAATGGGTGCAAAAGTGGGGTGCTATAAAGGAAGAAAATTAGGGGGCTGGTGGTCAGGCCATAACTATGGCTATTAATCGTTACAAGTGGTCCACCTCCCACCTTTTTACCAACTATCAACTGTCTCTTTTTTACTGCCATTCTTGTCTCCTTCTTGCCAGATTTTCCTAGAGACATTTATCGCTACCTGTATGAATAGTTTGCAATATTTTATGAAACTGTTTTCTTTTTACTTCCTTGGACTCCCTTTATCCCATTAAATTTTCTAAAGAGTTTCAGGTGAAAATGTGTTAGTTTATTATTTATTTTTAACTTCAATTGAAATTAAGAGCCAACTACACTGCAGACAAGACTTTGCCATCTGAATGTTGATCACTTTAACTAGTGTTTCTGCACAGGTGAGGAGGAACTTAAACAAGTACTAAATTAACCTAATTACAGTAATGCTTACAACGACTCCTAACATTCTTTCGACGTTAGCACAATGCTCGGGAATTTTTGTGGAATTCTCTTTCCTGGGTACAGTTCACCCCAAAGGGCCTCCGGTGCACCTTGTGCATCTCGCCCTCTCGCTCGCACACCGAATGCGCCATTTTTGTTTGAAAGCTAATCGAAAAAGGGCGTACAGCCTAGCTCCGAAAAATACCCGCACACACACACGTGCTACGTAATGTAATGCAATGTCCGGAAGTACAGTCAACACCCAAAAAGACCAGCACACCACATAAGCAGAGTGGGCGAGGGAAAGAGAGAGAGAGTGAGAGAGAAAGATAGCGATAAGGACAGTGGGAGTGAGAGGGAACTGCCACTCGCATCGCATTCAGCAAAACATCATCAAAATTGTAAAAATAAACAAAAGCCAACATGCATAAAACCAATTTCCATTAAGGCCAACACACACGACGCACACACGCACATGCAACTCTGTGTGTGCACTATCGCTGTCCCACTCGTCCACGCTAGCCCTCTCTCATTCTGCTTCCCTTTTTGGCCTGTCCATTGCAGCATTGAACAAAGTTTCGGGCTTAGATGGTGTTTTTTCTCTTCTTTTCTATTTTTTTTTTAAGCGTTGGGTAGATTGGGGGGCGACTGGACTTTGGTCTCTGAGTCTGCCTATGGCCACCGAAAAATCCTCAAAAATAAAGGATAGCGAAGAGGACGAAGGAGCGGGGCTTGTGAGTGAGCTGTATCCTTAATTGATATCGCAGCAAGGAATTTCTCTGCCACCCACTCAGGAATAAAAGGGAAAAATACAAAAAGGAAAGACCCGGCTTCGGACAGGATGAGCTCTGTGAGTCCAGTGATGGAGGGCATCTAGTAATTGTACCTCAAACAAAAACCTGGTACCTATAATTAAATTATAAAAATATTTTTGTACTAAATTTCTCTAATAGAATTTAATATTTTTATGAAAATTCTACATCTTTATCTTGAGAATTTAAAAAAACCTTTGCTTAATTGGAATTAATTATAAAATATTCCAATAAAATGTCAATAACTTCTATTAATATACTTTATTGGATGGGTACTATCCAATAACTAGATCTGAAAACCCAATACCTCTATTTAAAATTTTAATACCTTTAATTAAATATTGCTTGTGCCTTGCGATGGTCAATGACTTGTTTCTTTTCCCATCACTGTCTATATCTATCTCTTTGGGTTTTTTACGCCAGGCGTGTACAGCGGGGGGCTTAAACACACACGCATGCAATGCCCAGAGGGGAAAGAGGGAGGGGGTGGTGTTTTTTTTTTGGGGGGGGGACTTTGGTGGCATTGCAAACGCAACGAGGATACTGCATGCGATAGGTCGGAAATTTTCTGCCGAGCTCGCAATCAACTCTTTGGACTAGGAATAGGAGATATGGCCCACCCACAACTCCACAATCCCCCCTTTTTACTTTTAGTGGCGGCGCACCTGCAGCACGAATGTGCAAGGGGGGCTGCAAGTGCGGCAGTGGGTGGTGGTGGGGGGTGCTGTGATGGAAAATTCTGAGGGTTGTGTGTGCAGGACGCAGTAAAATGGCGGCATCCCAGGCCTTTGGGCTTGGCCAAAGTCCATGTGTGCTTGTGTGCGTGTCTGTGGAACCCCTAGGAACCCCCGCCTTTGTGTCTGTGTGCGTTTCCATTTTGCCATTTGTGCCACCCACACGCCATACCCCCCTTGCCACCCCGCCGTTTCTCCCTTTTTGTTTTGGTAGGCACCACCCCCCCTGGAAAACCCACCCATGCCCCGAAATGCGAGGCGAAACTGAAGTTCATGCAACTTAGGTCTAGGGATGTCTGTCTCTAGTTGAGTGTGTGTGTGTGTGTGTGTGTGTGTTTCGGGTGGGTGTTTCGGTGCGTTGCATGTCTGCCCACACACACATACACTCACAATACATACAAGTATGGACAGATAGATAGTTGGGTACAGTGCGTATTGTTTAAATAATAATAAGTTAAAGGGAGAACAAGTAAAGTATTTATAAATAATACAATAATAAATTAATAAATATCTAGGAACAAAATAATAACATACAAAATATCATTACTAAAGTAAAAAAAATACAAAAATATTCAAATAAATAATTAAATTAATATAGATATTAAAATAAGTTTATGATTTCTTTACTAACTGTGGACGTAAATCGTAGACTTTCAATTTATTTCAATTTTATTTAAATAGATTTTATGTTAAACTATCACTATACATAGCTGACGCGCACTGTACGCATGTACTCGAGCTTGTATTTACGGAGATGTGCTCACATAGTCAATGAATAGCCGCAGTGGCCTGTCCTGTCCATCTTCTCATGTTCGTTTCCCCTAATGGCAGCCTATGAAAAGTTTTCCGGGAATTAAGTTAACAAAACACACTTGAGTATTTATATAAATTTACAAATATGCAGCAGCATTTGGACTTGGACTTGTTTGGGTTTTATACTTCGTTAGTTTTCAGTTAATTAGATCTTTAAGTATTTACTTTGGCTGGGATTTTAGGTAACTTAACTGATTCTGTTCATTTATTTATATTCTAAACTATAATAATTACTAACATGAATAAACTCTTCGAAATAAGGAAAAGATCTTGCTTAAAAAATGAGATTCTAGTTTTTATTCCTGTTTTACGATATTTTAGCTGATACTTGCCATTTTCTGTTTGTTGTTTTCTATACTATTTTGTTGTATATCCATTATTATTCTGTTGGTATTTTGGTCTACACCCCCAGTTTGTTTTTTACACTTTGGGGATTGCTTGACGTTGACGATGACGACGACCAAAAAAGTGGACGACCGCCTACGAAACCCGCCTATTGTTGCCACCTCCTACACATATTGATGCAGCCACACAGACGGGAAACACTCGAACATTTGCTTCGCATGTGGCCCTGGCAACCCTTTCAAAAACGGGACTCCTTCGAGTGGGAGTGTGTACTTTCACACAGTAAAAAATGTCATTTAACTATTTTATCAAATTAATGGCAATCCTTA